AGGCGCCTCTGCGCCACACTCTCCCTGCAATGCTGCGCTGGCTCGCCACCTACATCCACCAAACGCATGCACGGGCCTATTATGCGACGAATCTGCACTCCCACGTGTGTACCTGCCTCGATGTGCTACACATGCTCCTTCTCTCTGATGCCTGCTGTCCGCTGGTCTGTGCGCTTGTGATGCCTGCTGTGCTTCCCCTTCTTCGGTTGGAGCAGCTGGCCACGATACCCGGTACAGCTGGGAACAACCTGCGTACCTGCTGCCAGCTTCTTGAGGCGAAATATGAGCGTCCTCGCGCCGCACCTTCTACCTTGCTCGCGCAAGCCCTCAGCCGAGATGCGAGCCGCGCGCCTCTCTGTCGCATGGTGGCGAAAGCCTGTTCTACCAACGCGCACGATACCACTACGGCACACACATGGCTCTCACTCATGCAAAGTACATTGCCTGACGATACATGGGCCGTCCAACTGCTTGGTACGGCCCTGGTCCTAGCGCCACCGCCGGCCGGCGCAGCATTCGCCCCTCTCACCCTGGCTAGATTCGTGCTGCAGCGCTGGGACGCATCGCGATCGACCGCTGAGGCTGTTCAATCCATGACAGCTGTGCTCAGCATGAGTATGGCCTTGGCGAAGCAGTTCCCTGGCGGTGCGGAGGCGGCCCAGCGCTTACTGTATAGTTTCTCAGGAGCGCTGCCAAAAGCGCTCCTTGACGCGCTGTAGGCTGCTGCGGCATTATGCAGCCTCCACTATGGTTTTTTTTGGACCACACGGGCCCGTTTTGGCCTATATGACGCACAGACAAACGGTCCCCGTCCTTTCCCAATATTATGCCAGTGCAGTCGTTTAAAAACCAGATTGAATGGTTTGCGTCTCTGAATCCCGTTGAGGTGAAGGTTGGCAACCAGTTTCTGCGCAAAACGTACGTACAATCAGAGTAGGGGTCTGACGCGTAGTTCGATTATTGCGACGATCGGCCCCAAGACCAACAATGTGCCGATGTTGCACAAGCTTCGTGAGGCTGGCGTGAATATCAGTATGTGCACCACTACTCACAGAAAGTTCGTCTGAATGCGAGCCATGGCTCTCACGAGTACTTCCAGAGCGTTGTGGACAACTGCCACCAGGTAGAGCGCGAGGCGCCCGGTCGTCCTCTGGCCATTGCCCTGGACACCAAGGGCCCTGAGATGCGCACCGGTGTGATGGTGAACGGCGAGGATGTGCCTATCAAGGCGGGCCACGAGTTTATCGTGACCACTGACCCTGCTTACGAAGACAAATGCAGCGATCAGTACCTGTATATTGACTACCCTAGCCTGGCGGAGAAGGTCGAGCCGGAGCGTATTATTTACATCGATGATGGTATCCTGGCCCTCAAGGTGCTCAGTGTCGATGGCACTAATGTGCATGTGCGTACTGTCAACGACGGTGTGCTGTCGTCGCGCAAGGGTGTGAACCTGCCCCTGACGGAGGTGAACCTGCCCTCCGTGTCGGAGAAGGACAAGAAGGACCTGATGTTCGCCGTGGAGCAGGAGCTGGACATGGTATTCGCGTCGTTTATCCGCAGCCGCCACGACATTGAGGAGATCCGCTCGATTCTTGGCGAGAAGGGCGCACACATCCGTATTATCGCCAAGATCGAGAACCACCAGGGTCTGGTGAACTTTGACGAGATTATGGAGGCGGCTGACGGTATTATGGTGGCGCGTGGTGACCTGGGTATCGAGATCCCTGCACCTCAGGTGTTTCTGGCGCAGAAGATGATGATCTCGCGCTGCAACATTAGTGGTAAGCCGGTTATCTGCGCTACACAGATGCTCGAGAGTATGACCAAGAACAACCGCCCGACGCGCGCTGAAGTGTCGGATGTGGCGAACGCTGTCGTCGACGGTGCAGACTGTGTGATGCTGAGCGGTGAAACGGCCAAGGGCAGCTACCCCGTGGAGGCTGTCAAGATGATGGCCGAGACGGCCTACCTGGCCGAGCAGACGCTGGCGTACCAGTCCATTTTCCTGCAGATGCGCAGCCTCTCGCGTGGTCCCACGAACACGATTGAGACCATTGCCCTGGTCGCCGCCTCGGCGAGTCTCGATCAGCGTGCTGGTGCCATTCTGCTCATGTCGACCTCGGGTCAAACCGCGCGCCTTGTGAGCAAGTACCGCCCGCCGTGCCCCATTCTGATGGTGACCCGTAACCAATACACCGCGCGCAGCTGCCACTTGTACCGCGGCACGTATCCGTTCCACTACCCGCTTCCTCACATCGAGGACCCGTCCCGCTGGCAGGAGGACGTGGACAACCGTATCAAGTTCGGTCTGGCTGAAGCTCTCAAGCTGAACATTATCAAGAAGGGCGACACTGTCATTGCTATACAGGGCTGGCGTGGTGGTAAGGGCTTCACCAACTCGCTCCGTATCCTCACTGTGCCCACTACCACCGAGGGCTATATTCTAGAGAACACGGATGCGCCTCATCCGTAGATCTACTTAAGGGTGTAGTTCGTGTAGGAATTGGAACTCGAAAACGCTGGTCAGCTCGTCCACCTTCTGGGCCAAAGCCTGGAACTCGGCGCTGGACTTATGGGCCTCAAAAGCCGCTTCGTCGGTGTACTCCTCTACATGTTAGTGAAAGTCACGTACCAAACACGATAAACTTGAGCGTGTCGTTCGCATCGCGAGAAAGACGGTACTGGTGTCAGCATAGCCGTACGTACGGTCTTGGTGCCCTCCTCGGCCGTGTTGGCCTTCTTGGTCACAGCAAGGAGCATATCCTGCAGAATATCAGCCTCACTAGGGCCTTTGGCAACGGCACTGCATCGAGTCAGCAGCTTAGACATACGTGGCAACGAGAATGAAAGGACCTTGCTTGGGGGCAGACATGGCGGAGGGGAGCAGCCCGTGCGCCCCGTTGGGCCTGGGACACAGACCACGGCCTTGTCACGTGCAACGTGCATGCAACAAACACCCTCGCCGACCTGTTGTGCTGTGGTGGTGACGGAGTGACACCACGTAGCTCGTGTATGTCCGAGGTGTTTGATCTGCTGGGCCTAGGTACACCTATACCTCGTGCCTATGATGCTGGTACACCTAGCCGGCATCGCAGTCTGTCCCCCTCCCCTCGCGGTCGCATCACATGGGAGGACAGCCAACCTAGCTCTTCGCCACAGGAGCTGCTGGCTGGGCCCAACACGCCGTGCAAACCACCACCAAGCCTATCACTAGAGAAGGAAAACATTTTTGCGCCACCGGCTCACCTGCCAGCGAGTCCTTCGCGTGTGCGTGCCTCGCGAACGCGCCGTCGCATGCGCGTCCAGCGCTCCGCGCCCTATACGTACAACATGTGTGCACCGTCTCGTCGTTCAGCCGCTCCAGATACCAAGGAAAAGCGTTCCTTTGCTACTGCTGACCCCCATACCCATCCACCACCCGCACCCACGCCGAAGCGTCCTCGAAGTCGCATGTTCGAGCGCGTGCAAAGTGATCCTGTTGTACGATCTTGCCCAAACGACGAGCCTGCGCACCCCAGCTCGGACGACAGCTTTTCCCGTGTCCTCGATGATGACTTTCCTATCGATGCTGCTGCTCTAGAGGAAGTGGCTGCCACACAGGGGTGGTAACGAATGTACATAACTATCATGAACGATCCAAATATGCTTGCTCCATGAACAAGGACACACGGTCCGATACATACAGAGCAGCCTGCTGCTCACCGATGTGTAGAAAGCTGGCTGGTCGTCGCACTTGCAGACTCACATCGACCGGCGCCAGCAGTTGACGCACTCGGTGGATGGCCGTATGTTCACGTTCGCCAAACCCGGCACGGATCCTATCCACGTAGGCCCCATCCAAGTAGGCACACGCAGGGCTATCATCCCAGCCATACAGTTCCGAGATCGCATCATAAAACTCTGTACGAAATGCCTCCTGTGTATTTTCATGCCGAATCCCACGATCGGTCCATGCTCCTCGCAGTTCCTGGGGCCAGCCCCCGGTGAACATGGACGTGCGCAAAAGATCCCGCTGCCTTTCCACATTGCTCTTTTCGCGTGCGTTATGGGCTTGGTCTGTTCGCCAGCAAATTTCGAGGGACTCCATAACACCGAGCCCCACGTCGTCAAGCAACTCTTGCACATCCGCTGCTGATGGTTGTGTCGCATCGACACGTTGGAAAAAGTACCGAAGACGCGTCGCAAAAATGTCAAGGGGCCGAAATGAGAACTTGCGCGTGTCATACCGAAGGTGCCGGACGCCAGGCGTTGCGCGATCGTCCTCTGTAGCACGGGCTGATAGGGCACGCACGTCAAAGCAGCTGCCTGCGCTAAAGCTGCCCGCGCACAACGGCTCCAGAATAGTGAGTGGCATTGGAAGCCCTGTTAGTTCGCTCTGTGGGTTGATCCCGATGACATGCAAGTGTCGAAGTCGCCGTCGGAAAGGACAAAGCGCATGGTTGGATGAGCCACCAAAAATGTGCGACAATAATGTTTCATTTCCATCGAAAACCACAGTGAAATACGTGGGGGAAAGACACTGAATCGATTTGAAGAATGCTTGAGTTTCCACGGATCCCAGGGATAAATGACGCACGTTCGGGAACCATGATAAGAACGTGCTGGGGTCGATCAACTCCGCCCGATCTTCTTCAGAAAGCATGGCCAAAAGTGTCAACAAGTCAGGCTCGTCACTTTCACTGGTATCAATATAAAGATGGCGCGTTTGCGTAGCTGCATCACGCCCAGGGATCGAGATGAGGTGGGGCGCATGCTGCATCCAATGTAAGGTTTTCATGAACGCCAAGAGCGATTTTTGGGATCGGATGACGATAGTTTGCCATCGAAACACCTTAGTACATTCGCATACATCTCTAGAAACGAGAGCTAGAGCTTGCGCGCATACAAGGTCTTGTCTCGCTGCGAGCTGATAGATATACCACTGCAGCTCCCATGGAAGTAGCATGAAATCTGCACTGCGTGAAATGATGTTTGATTCGCGAACTTGGCGATACTTTGGCAGGGTAGCAAAGTGGTCTAATGCAGCGGCCTTAAGCAGCCGAGTGGTTTTTTCACTCTGAATTGCAATCCGCCATTCGCGGGTTCGAACCCCGCCCTTGCCATCCTTTTGGGTCTATCCAAGTAGGTCTATGCGAATGTCTCCACAGGGCTGCGTCTGTTCGAGCTTGCAGATACCCACATGCGCCAAGGTTAGCATGTGGTAAACTTTTGCATCAGTCGACTTTGGTGTGTCTCACGTACAAGCCTGTGCTGCCACATGATGTGAACTTTCTTGCGTTGTTGAGACAAGATCCGAAAGCAGCAAGTATTGTCGTTGAGTCATGCATTGCAAGGCCGTACGTATGTACCTGACGTGAGTCTTTCCTAAAGCATACACTAGGAAATCGTATGTCTCTGGCTGCAGATCGTGCACAATGGCTGACTCCTCTCGGTAGGATTCTTCTTCGTTAACCCAGTGGCGTACCATCACCGTCTTTCACTTGACATACTAGGGAGTCATTGGCGTACGTTGGCCAGGATGCCGGCGACCCCATGCTTGTGTTGGCCATTGATTTAACCGCTCCATTGACATGGAGTGACTCTGATGACATACGAGGAAGACGAGGCGACTGCCAACGAGCTGCTTGCTGCACAATGGACGTATTGGCGCTGGAAAAACTCTGCTCCTGCTCATCATCTGGCCAGTCCACTAAAGCCTGCCCCCAGGACGTCCATGGAAGTGGATCGAACACCTCCTGATGAGTATCTTGTCCACGACCTATTTCGGACGAGTACTGCTCATCGGGCCAAGGATTGTCCATGTGGGAGGTCTTTTCCACAGAGGAGGCCAACACGCTCTGTGCCCACGCTTCTCTGGCATGCTCTGTTAGCACATGAAAGTGTTGTTCCAACGTTTGTACGTGAGTTTCCACCGTTTGCTGCCAGAGCGGGATCAGTCCCTTGCTCCACCCTATGCCGAAGCGATCAGAAAGGCTCGATGGCCATTGGAGCGTCCATGCATGGTACCAGTGGCCCTGCGTCAAAAACTTTGCACGAGCCGACTCGATGCGTGCATCCCATTCTTGCTCTGTGTACCCAATATGGCGGTCCATGGGGCATGTACGTTTCACGGAGGTGGTTGGCGGGACTTTGGTCCTCTTGGCCGGTAGTTCGACCGTGCGCAAATTTCCTAGGCTTTCCAAACGAGTGGAAAAGTCAGTTTGGTCACTGCTCGGTGCGTGGGCGAAAGAGGTATGGATCTCGGGCGGCGTGGAACACAGAGGAAGTTCTACCGGCTCCATCAACACATCCTTATCACAGGACCGCCAAGGTGATCCTTCCATCTGGATAGCAGCGTCATTGTTCGAAGTCGTATCAAGAACAAATGGTTGAAGAGCGTCAGATGGGAAACAGGTTACATGGGTATCCAATGTGGGGCGTTTCATTCTCTTTCTAGCCTTGGTGTGGATTTGCATTTCGTTTGGTGCATACATCAAGGCAGCAGGCTCATCCAGAGTGGGCCAGGTAAACGAGGTAGGAAGCACATTTTTCATATCGAGCTGTGTGTGCTGTTGCTTGGTTCTGCGATAGGGAAATGACTTTATCGACACAGCCATGTGTTTGACGCTGGTGCTCCACGTTTGAACCTGCGTAAGTGGTGACGCCTACCTGCCATGCCCAGAGTCGTACGACACCCAGAAGAAGAAAACTTGCTTCATAAAGAGGCCGACGATAACAGGATTGCTCTGTCATTGTACTGGATGAGATTCGCAAACGTACCAGATCTCCGGCACGTTGATTTGATGGATAGCCTGAGCGCTCAACCGGGCATGTTTGGACTGAATACCAAACGTGGCTGCGATCCTGGGATGAGACCTTGTACTACCTACCATGTACTGCGTGCTTGTGTCATGGGACGAGGACGCGCGTCCCCTCCTGCCACGAGGCCGCCTCAAGCTGTACCATGCATGCAGGTGGTTGCGGTAGGGCCAGCATCCACGTGACAGGGGCAACGACCTCCGACCGAGCCTGCGATCGGTTTCTTGTGGATGCTACGGTGGTTTCCTCGGCAAGTGTATCGCTTGTTGATTCCTACCCGCCCATATAGCTCTTTAACTCGGAGCATACATACATCAAGAATGAGTGGGCAAGTGTGGCGTGCGCCAGCTCCCGATGCCGTGCCAGCTCCTGTGCCGCCGCCCATTCGCGACGTGCACTCGTATGCCAATGTCAACGAGCTGAAGCCGGAAAGCTTGCACCTCGACTGGATCATTGACTGGTCGAACAAGCGCATTCTCGGATCTGTGTCGCACCGTCTCCAGGCCCTCACGGAGGTGTCGCGTGCCATCTTTGACACGTCGTTCCTAGCGATCGAGAGTGTGTCCGTGGACGGTCACGAGGCCAAGTTCGAGCTCGGTGAGCGTCGTGGACCCTTGGGCGAGCCTCTGTACATTGATATTGGTCAACGCAAGGCTGGTGATCATGTCCAAGTGAAAATCAACTACGCCACGACCAACAAGTGCACCGCGCTGGGCTGGCTCTCCAAGGAACAAACGCACACGAAGAAGACACCGTTCTTGTACTCGCAGTGCCAAGCCATCCATGGGCGCTCGATGCTTCCATGCATGGATTCGCCTTCGCGCAAGGTCACATACACGGCTTCTGTGACGTCAACCATTCCCGTGCTCATGTCCGCGCTCCAGGAGCAGGCGCCTCAAGACGCAGAGGATGGAGCCAAGGTGTACACATTCCGCCAGCCTGTGGCGATTCCGACGTACCTGCTTGCCATTGTGGGTGGCTTGCTCGAGTTCCGTTCGCTGGGGCCTCGCACTGGCGTCTGGGCCGAGCCTACGGATGCAGACAAAGTGCAGTGGGAGTTTGAGGCCGATGCGGAGCGCTTCTTGACCGAGGCTGAGAAGCTTGTGTCGCCCTACTCGTGGACGCGCTACGACAGTGTGGTCCTACCGCCCTCCTTCCCGTATGGCGGCATGGAAAATGCCAATCTCACGACCCTTACGCCCTCTCTCGTATGTGGCGATCGCAGCTCGACCGACGTGCTTCTGCACGAGCTGTGCCATTCGTGGAGTGGCAACTTGATTTCCTGTGTCAACTGGGAGTCGTTCTGGCTGAACGAGGGCTGGACTGTGTACCTGGAGCGCCTGCTGCTCCAAATGGTGCATGCGGACGACAATGGCCCTGGCCACCGTGGCTTTTCGTACATTATCGGAAACAAGGCCATGCGCGACTCGCTGGAGGGATTTGCCGACACGCCGCGTTTCCAGCGCTTGATTCCTGTGTACCGCGATGGGGAGGACCCTGATGATGCATTCTCCTCGATTCCGTACGACAAGGGCGCTAACTTTTTGCTGTACCTCGAGCGCCAGGTCGGCGGCTTGGAGAACTTTGTGCCGTATATCAAGGCGTACTTCCACACCTTTGCTGGTCGCTCGGTGAGCACGGAAGAGTGGCGTGAGCACTTGTTTGCCTTTTATGCCGGCAACGAAAAGGCTACCAAGGCGTTGCACGAGGTGGACTGGGACGCTTGGCTGCACGGGGAAGGCGTGGAGCTGCCTGTGGCCATGCACTACGATGAGAGCCTGGCTGTGGAAGCCTTTGCGCTAGCTGATCGCTGGATCCATGTGATCCACAGCGGCGATACGGCCAAGTTCGACAAGATGGACATGGATGGTTGGAATACGAATCAGGTGGTTGTCTTCCTGGAGAAGTTGCATGCGGGTCCCCATGTGCCCGCGGCAATCGCACAGCGTCTTGACGAGGTGTACGGGCTAAGCACGGCGGCCAACCCTGAGATTCGTTTGCGTTTCTACGAAGTGGCTCTGGAGGACAAGCAGGGCGTGTATGCCAAGGATGCGGCTGAATGGGTATGTATGTGCCACTTACGCCAGGTGAAAACCCAGGGACGTATGAAGTACTGCCGCACCATTTTCAAGGCGCTCCATAAAGTGGAGCCGGCGCTGGCGAAGCAGACCTTCCTGGCGAACGAGAGCTTTTACCACCCCATTGCCGCGACGATGATCCGAAAGGTACGTATCAGCGACTCGCGGTCCTGACACGACAGGACCTCGGGTTGTAACAGAACACCCCTGACCGTAGGATATTCTTGCACACAAAGCTCCCCATGTGGTGGCTGTCATAGGCAGCACCGGCACGGGCAAATCGCAGTTGGCTGTCGAGTTGGCCGAGTATGTCTCGGCGCGTGGGCTCCCTGCGGAGGCCATTTCCGCTGACAGCATGCAGACCTACTGTGGCTTGGATGTGATTACGAACAAAGCCAGTGCAGCCGAGATGCAGAATGTACCGCATCATTTGATGAGCTTTTTGCCGCCAGGCTCCGAGTACGATATCACGCAGTTTGTGCGGGATGCCACTCGCCTGTGTGAGGGGATGCAAAAGCGCGGCACCCTTCCTATTCTTGTGGGAGGTACGACGTACTATGTGCAGCACTTTCTCTTCCCAGGCCAGCTGGTCTCGCAAGCTGCGCCGCCCCTGTCCGCGCTATCGCCAGCTATGCAAGCGCGCATGGAGGCGCTGCCGCCCGACCTGCGTGCCTTGTGGTCGGAGGTGATTGTTGTCCCAACGAGCGAGGATCTGCCGCTAGCATCCAATGCTTCGCAGCTCTGGTCCCTGCTACATGCCCTGGATCCGGCCAGTGCGCAGCGTTGGCACTACAACGACTTTCGCAAAGTGTACCGGAGTCTGCGCATTTTGTACGAGTCTGGCAAGCCACAGTCGGCCTGGCTCGACGCACAGGACGCGAGAGATCGCGAGCGGCAACGGCAAGATCCACGCCGGCGCCTGCTGTTTTGGGTCTGGAGTGCGCGCGACATTTTGCAAGCCCGCCTGGATGCGCGTATTGGCAAAATGGTCGAGCGTGGTCTGCTGGAAGAAATTCAAACGCTGCGTGCCATGGCTCGCGAACAGAGCCCGACGACCGATTATACCCGGGGCATTTTCCAAGCGATTGGTACGTGGCTCCTACTAATGACAGGCTATAAAGAGTTTGATGCCTACCTTACCCATCGGGACCAAGGCAGTACGCATGAGGAGGCCCAGGACTTGTTTGACCAGGCCATCACCTCGATGCAAACGGCCACGCGGCGGT